TTATTTCTGATCATATATGCCAAGAATAGAATGGGTGTTAGCATTCTCTTCCATCACTTCATGTAATGACCCTGGTGCAAATCATCATGGGTTTTAGTACTTTTGAGAATTGCTTCCTACTCACTACCTAAGAGTCCATTCTTAATCTCCAATTTCTGTCTTTCTGGGGACATTAATAAGGTTCAGCTGAGGTTCTCTTCACACCCAATGATGCCTTTCTCTCATTCTAGTCTGTGCTGTGCTGTGTTTTCCAGTATTTTCTTGAATTTTTGGAATGTGAATGATACCTTCCCTTAGTTTTTGAGCATGTTAATTTGTGTTTATTTTATACATTTCTTTTGAAATTTTGGTAGGAGTGGGCAGATGTGAGTTTGAGTCACCATTTTAAAGTGGAATAATGCTTTTTCTCACTAATATTGCTATTTATTTTATTAACATTGTTTATAATGGTAACATTATTTGAGAGAGGTTGGTTTCACTGTTGTAGAATAGTCACATCGAACAACTGACAATGTAGTAATAGTCACATTGAACAACTGACACTGTGTTCAAACCCTACAGTCCTGACACTGAACTAAAATTTATGTTATGGGGATTTTATTCAGTATATATAAAAATTGTTTTAGTAAACTCAGATTTTCTTAAAAGTATATTTTTACAAATATGAATGTGGGGGAAATGGAAGTTCCTATGGCCAGGATCCTCACCTGACTCTAACCTACTTGATGATGTAACTGGCCTACTGCTAGGCTACTGCTTCCACACCTGTAGGCGATAAGTTGCTATTGACTGAGTCACTATATAAAGAGCTCTGCCCAGTACTCTGGGTGGAGGCAGAGACAGAGGTGGGCAGACTGTTGGATGCAGACATGATTCTAGTGTTTGACCTGTTGTCTTGCCAATGGGTTTCAGCCCTGGGCAAGTTTGCTATGGATTCAGTGTGACCAAAGAAAATGACAGCAAAACATTCTTGGGGTGAAAGGGTTATACCCAACTTTATTTCCAGGTGGCAGGTCAGTCACTAAAATCCCATTCACTCGGAGTGAGTCTGTATGGAGCAAGCCAGTCTCTGCCTCTGGGCCCCTCTGTCTGCACAGCTGTCGTCTGGGCTTCTCTGCACAGCCATCCCACAGAGCTGTCCTCTGGACCTCTCTGCACAGTCATCCCACACAGCCGTTCTCTGGGCCTCTGTCTTCGGCGCTGCCACCACTCCAGCCTCTGCTCTGTTCTCCTGCAGCCTTGCAGCCCTGCCACTGTGTCATGCCCAGAGCACTAGGTGGAACTCTTTTCATAGAGGCAACAGCCATGTATTGCCCACAGGTGTGCAGTGAGCTAGTCAACCACAGCCAGGTGAGAATCCTGGCCACAGGAACTCTCATTTTATCCACACCTGTCGCCATAAGAATAAATCTGTGTATAAGCCCTTTTACCCCAAAAATGTTTCATTGTCATTTCTAAGTCTCAGTGAATCTGTATTAAACTTGTCCAGCACTGAAACCCTCAGGCAAGGCAGTGAATTAAAGAATACGTTAATAGTGTAGAGTTTACCTTATCATCAGTTAAAAGATGACTTTTAAAAAGATTCTTAAATGATTGCTCAATTTAGAATGTATTAGGTTAACAGAAGAGAATATGTATAAGAGAGGCTACTACTGTGCTGTTATATACTTTATTAGTTTCTAGTGAAACCAGGTGCTTTTAACTTCTCTAAAGTGAACTTTTTAATGGGTCATGCTTAGTTCTGACATTTTTTATAGTAGATAAAAAGGAAAAGTATTTCTTTGGCATTAAAGGATTGATCTTGACCTCAAGCATTAACAATAAAATGAACTGGGGGTAGTGTTTAATATATTACCATTTAATTTGTTATCATATATTTGTTACTCTGAAAACTTTGCATGAATATGTTATAGCTTTAAATACCAGGTAATTAGAAGTTATACCTGTTGGTGATGTCTGAATTTTAACTTGATTTCTTGAAATTAATTTATTTTTAATTACAATAATTTTTAATAGGCTTTCCTATTCCCTAAATCATACAGTTCTCCCACCCTTTCCCTTTTTTAAATGAAAAGGAGCTCATTTTCAATGTCCTTAAGGGTTTATAATGCTGAGAGCATACTGTCAAGAGCAAAGTTGCTCCTATTGGTTGAGGATATGCTAAAACAAGAGGCACTCTTTTAGGAATCCCAGCTGACTGGAGGAAGATGGGGCACAGCAGTAGTACCTTAGCTTGAGATCTATCAAGGAAGATGTAGTGTTGTGGATAAAATGAAAGTTCCTGTTGCCGGGATTCCCACCTGGCCCTGGTTGGCTAGCTCCCTACACATGTGTGGGCAATACGTTGCTATTGACTCTATATAAAGAGCTCCGTCCAGTGCTCTGGGTGACACTGTATCACAGCTACAAGGCTGCAGGAGAGCAGAGTAGAGGCTGGAGTGGTGGCAGTGCTGAGGACAGAGGCCTAGAGAACAGCTGTGCTGGCAGGGATGCTGTCTTGCCAATGGGTTTCAGCCCCAGGCAAGTTTGCTATGGATTCAATGTGACCAAAGAAAGTGACAGCAAAATGTTCTTGGGGTGAAAGGGTTATACCCAACTTAATTTCCAGGTGGCAGGTCAGTCACTAAAATCCCATTCACTCAGAGTGAGTCTGTTTGCAGTAAGCCTGTCTCTGCCACTGGGCCCCTCTGTCTGCACAGCTGTCCTCTGGGCCTCTCTGCACAGTTGTCCCACACAGCTGTCCTCTGGGCCTCTGTCCTTGGTACTGCCACCACTCCAGGCTCTGCTCTGCTCTCCTGCCGCCTTGCAGCCATGCCACCATGTCCCACACAGAGCACTGGGCGGAGCTCTTTTTATAGAATCAACAGCCATGTAATGCCCACAGGTGTGCAGTGAGCCAGTCAACCAGGGCCAGGTGAGAATCCTGGCCACAGGAACTCTCATTTTATCCACAGATACTCAGAGGCAGAGACTGGCTTGCTGCATGCAGACTTACTCTGTGAACGGATTTTAGTGAAAAAAAGTTGGGTATAACCCTTTCATCCTAAGAACATTCTACGGTCATTTCTTTGGTCACATTGAATCCATAGTGAACTTGACCGGGGCTGAAACCCATTGGCAAGACAATTGGTGACAGTCAGCAGGGTTCATTCTTGACCAAGGAAAAGAAAAGGCTGCTGTCTTGCCAATGGGTTTCAGCCTGGGCAAGTTCACTACAGATTCAGCATGACCAAAGAAATGACAGTAGAACGTTTCTTTGGGGTGAAACGGTTTATTACCCAGCTTGTTATCCTGGCGGTAGGTAGAGCACTAGTATCTCTGCCTCTGCTCAGAGCACTGGGCCGAGCTCTCTATATAGTGCAATAATAGCTTATTGCCTAAAGGTGTGGAAGTGGTAGTCTAACAACAGTTACATCATCAGGTGGTTTAAGTTCAGTGAGGATCCTGGCCATAGGAACCCCATCTTTCCCACAGTTGCCCTCATGGGAGGAGTGTTTCAGCAGGCTGCACCTATGGACGGGAGTGTCCCTCTGTGGACATGTACTGTGAAGGGGTGGAGGACTGGGGTCCACTCCAAGAGAAAGAAAATTTGTTGCTGACTAAAATCGTGTCACTAGGAAGGGCTGTGGAAATAGTAAAGGATGACATGGTAGCCCAGAGGAAGCAGCATGAGAAGGAGCAGTGGCCCGAGGAGTGGCCCGAGAGGAAGGAGCATGAAAGCTCAGGCTGCCAGGTGCTGTGGGCAGGTGAAGGGTGTAGCAGAGCCATCAGCCCCAGAAATGGAGTGGAGGTTTGACGAACAGATGGCGGTGGAGGCCCTGCCAGTGCCGGAGGCATCAGCCCCTCCTCGTCTGAGACCCTACCTGGTTGAAAGCTGGTGGAAAGCCAGAGGGACTCGGCTACCACGGGTTCCTCCAGGAGAGGTGCAGCCCTGTCCTCAGGCTGTGGAGCACTCCATGCTCTGCTTCTATCCTCAGGCTCAAGCACAAAAGGAAATACGGTCTGCTTTTTGAAGAAAGAATTTAAAAGGCCCCCGTGAAGGTCACAAGGACTCAGGTGTGGGTTGGTTTGAAAAGGCAGGAACAGACAGAAAGAAATCAGTGGCTGGAGCTGTGGCAGTTGAGACCAGAGCAGTGGTTCAGGCCACTGAGGACAAAGCAGAAGGCAGAGATAAAGCAACAAGATCGGCCTGTGTGTGACTTTATGCTGTAGAGGCTGGAGAAAGTGGGTATTGTAAGGCCCACCTACAGTCCTTTTGGTTAACTCATTTGAGTAGAACTGGTTTTAATACAGCCAGGATGACCACTTGTGGCAATAGATCTCCTCAGGTTTGAGGGTAATTTGTTGTACTTTTTGTTATTTGTATATTGTTGTAGCCTCTATTGTTATTATGGAATTTGGTTACAATACTCCATCTTTCTCGCACAGGGACCATTGCAGAGGACTGAGGGCACATAGATTGAGAGGAGAGAATCCTGGAGGGGTGGAGTGTGGATAAAATGAAAGTTCCTGTGGCCAGGATTCTCGCCTGGCCCTGGTTGTCTAGCTCACTACACATGTGTGGGCAATACATTGCTACTGACTCTATATAAATAGCTCCACCCAGCGCTCTGGGTGACACGGTGGCACAGCTACAAGGCTGCAGGAGAGCAGAATAGAGGCTGGAATGGTGGCAGTGCCAAGGACAGAGGCCCAGAGGCAGAGACTGGTTTGCTGCATGCAGACTTGCTCTGAGTGAACAGGATTTTAGTGATTGACCTGCCACCGTGGAAATAAAGTTGGGTATAACCCTTTCACCCCAAGAATGTTCTACTGTTATTTCTTTGGTCACATTGAAACCATAATGAGCTTGCCTGGGGCTGAAACCCATTGCCAAGACAAGAGTTTACTAGTGGAATCCGCTTGGTTAAGGCTGCCTTTGCTTTAGATTTAGACTTAAAGATAAACATTGTTTCATGACTTATTTAAATTCTGTCTCATATTCACTTTTTTTTCTTTAGGATTGTTCTAATACAACTTTGAAATATAAGGGAATACATTTTGGAAACTCTTTGCGAAGACTAGAGTTACCTATAAAATCAGGACCTGGTCCTGGACAGTATGATATAGTCCAGTAAGTAAAAAGAAAAGTATGCCTTTAATGTAATTCTTGACTATAAAGATTACCTATAAAATCAGGACCTGGTCCTGGACAGTATGATATAGTCCAGTAAGTAAAAAGAAAAGTATGCCTTTAATGTAATTCTTGACTATAAAGTATTCTAATAATTTAGACTAGGCTATACTGTTATGAAAGGAAAAAATCAGTATGAAAAACTCTAGGAAGTATTAGATTTTAGAGCAACTTATATGAAAACTGCTGCTTTTTTGTAAACAAGATCCTGTGTAACCTGATTTATATATATTACCTCATTTAATCTTCACAAGTCTCTGTGTAGTTACTATTGTTATACATATTGTACCAGTGAAATGTGCAAGGGTCTAAGAGAATAAATAGCATTCAAGATCTAGTGGCTTTAACTCAGGCCTGTTGATGATACAGCCCATCTACCTAAGTACAAACTATATTGTGTTTAATTATAATATAGACAGATGATCACAGGAAATATGAAAGAAGGTGATTCAGGATTTTTCATCTTGTCCCTGGACCTGGTGTCCATTCTTCTGACTACATGATAGATTTAGAAGGCTTTCTCAGTGTGTGGGTCAGAGCCGTAGCAATAGATTGGAAGCAATATTTATGAAGTTTTAACTTGGAAATACATTTCTTGCAAAGTAACTCTTTCTGCCTTTTTTTTTCCTACTCCTGCAAGAAGGACTTAGATATCGTCCATGGAAGATAAAATTGAGTAACAAATACCATGTTGTCCTTAAGATCTACTACCCCTTTTCATCAAATTTAACAGGGTCCAGGTTACCTACCTGATTCTTTCTCTCATAGAAAAAGTTTCCTCCTAAAAAGTCCCTAAATGATTCCACACTCAATTAGTTTGCTAGACATCTTCAGACAAATCTGTATACCAGGGGTGGGTGTGGCTAAGACTCTGGCTTGGACACCCTTGCTACTGTTCATTGAACATACCTGTTAGAATTCTTTCTTTGTGCTGATACTAAATTTAATAACTGAGAATACTAAGGATAAAACATGTCCTTTGTTTTTGGGAATTTATACTCTATTTTCTTTTTACTTCTCATTGTCCTAATATGGGAAATACACCTTATATTTTTATTCTTTAGTAGTTACACTAGAACATTGACATATATATTTAACTTAATGGGGTCTAAACTTAATATCTTTTCATTCTTCTAAATAAAACGGTTTATCAAGTGCTCCAACTCTGTTCATCCCTTGACATATATACTTTTGTTATTTGGTATTCTAATCATCTTACCTTTTCTTCTTCCAGTCTGGGCAGTTTGCTCGCTCTATCTATCTATCTATCTATCTATCTATCTATCTATCTATCTATCTATCTATCTATCTATCTATCTATCTATCTATCTATCTATCCTCTATCTGTTATCTATGTATCATCTATCTAATTTATCTGTCATCCATCTGCCTTCCTGTCAGTTTTATTGAGGTTTAATTAACATAAAACAAAATTAACTTTTTTAAGGTATATAATACTGTGACAACTGTTTTCCATCCATTCCACTACACTTCTGATTAAATATCTCAGGCTTAACCAGGCCTCTGTCTAATCATCTTGCTCTGATTTTGCTTGGTATTTTTTTCCTAATAGATCTTTTTACTTCCCCAACCCTGGCTTGCTCCTATTCTCCTCCTATTCTTTTTTTTTCATCAATTTTTCCTCCTATTTTTTAAATGTTACTTTCTCTTCAGTATTTATTATTTCCCCTGTTTCTTCTATATGTATTTTTGCTTGTAGGAATGAATCCAGGTAGATTCTGTTCCAGACTGTTTCAGTTATGCCACTGTTTCCACAGTTTGTCTGCTCTGTGGTTTGCTGCCTTCACTATCTTTTACTTGGAGTTGTCTTGGTTTCTTCTGGCACTTGACATTTTCTACCTTTTTTTTTTCTTTTGACTTTTTTTTCGTATTTGTTGAGTCAGAATTATTTTGGGGGATTTGACATAGTATAAAAGAGGAGATATTTAGCTACTGTAAATGGAATGTGAGCTCATAAGTCTCCTTTTGGGAAAGACAGACTTAAGTGATATGTGGCCCTTCTGATATCCCATGTAAAGTCATTACCCATAAAACTATTTGAGATTTTGAAAACAAGTTCATTTGTTGAATTTTGTGTGAAAGAAAATCAGTAAAGTTAGCATTTAATAGTGAAGTGTGATGTTAAATGCATATTTAAATCATAGCAATGTCAGAAAATTATTGTAATTTTGCAATTTAAGCATTTGTTATTATAGTTTTCTATTATCTTTTTAATACACTTATATTTAGTATAGTGCATTGGAAATGCTTCATATGAGAGTTTTTTGAAATTCTGTTTACTAAAAAAATAGTCCAGTATAGCCTACTTAAATATAATTCTTATAATAATAATAGTTAAAAGTGACTGTGTATTATGGGCCATGTATTACACTATATGTCACATTATTATCTACTTTAATCATTACAAGCGTGAGAACTGGCTATTACTATTTTCAGTCAGACAGTGAAAAATATAATCTGAAGCTTAGAGAAGTTAGGTGATTGTGTAAGGTCACATAGCTTGTAGGGCAATGTTAAGATTCATATCAGTATGCCTGACTCCACAGCTTGGACTCTTAATCACGTTTGTTTAGTTTCTTACTAGTTTTTGAGGTTGTGTAAATTTCAAGGAAAATAAACTTCCATTTCCTTTCCAAAGATTTTTCCTTATGCTCTTTTCCTGATTGTTTTATGATGTAAATAAATAGCACTCTTTTGCCCTTGTCTTAGTAATAGTTGAAATACCAAGGAATTTGAAATTTTAAAGACTTTTTATGGTAAACAGAATACAGAGAGAACTTTTTTTGGTAGCTTTTTATTTAAACTCCTGATAAAAACTCCACATTCTATTTTTTTTTGCAGTCATTAGAAGAGTATTACTATAGTTCTCTGAATTGGAAATGTGAAACTAACAAATGAATACATTTTACAAAATTTAGAGTATATTGTCTAACACACCCAAATATTATCATACACTTTTCAAGTGGGAAATATTGGTATAAAAAATATTCTCTTTACTTACATAAACATTTACATATTTGAAACTAAGAACTTCTCAATTTCTTTCTGAATTTTCTAAGGAAAAAGACACCACATTATGAAAACATTAACATCAAGAAAGATCAACTGCAAAATTGTTCATATCTCCCACAATTTTATGAAGTAATAATATTGCAGGAGGAAAAGAAGGTAAGTTGAAAAGTAGCTGTTTCATCTAATTTCTAGATTTTAAGTTCATTCAATCTTACTATCACAAGATTAGAGTGCTCGTTGGCTGCTGTGCCTGGTATTTAGTTGTCACTCAGTGAATACTGTGGAAGTAATGTACTTAAAATCTTTGTCAAGTGATCACCATCTCTGCTGGACACATCTTGTGATAAAGACATGACTAACTTTAAGGTTTTTTATTTCAGTAGTGGACAACTCTGTTCCTTACAATTTCCTTCTTAAACTGTCCTAAATTTACCTGCCTGCTGCCTATTCTTCCTTTCCCTATGACTTCTTTTCAATTTCCTTTTAAATATTTTCTATTAAGGATAAATGTTCTAGGTATTTTTGACTATTCTCATTATCTAACTTCAAGATAACTAATTTTCCTTTTAAGTTATCCAGGGATATTCTTCAGCTTGTGAATTTCTCTAAAAAAAATAATGATAGTAGAACTAATCCTAATACTCTTGGTGTAGTCTGATTAGTACATACTAAAATTTTTATCATCCTTGTTGTAACAGTGTATATTTATTAACATAAAACTCAAAATTCCATTATATATATGTTTTGTACCTATGTTTCACTTTAGTCATTTGGAACATATATGCAAGTAAAACCCTGGATTTGTTTTTCCCCTTCAATATATTATTACATTTAAATATAAAAACTTGAAGATTATACAGTCAAAATTTAAAAGTGGATCCATTTAAAGTAAGGATAAATGACTCTCAGTTGAAAAACCAATAACTATTCCAATAGGAATTTTGTCTGCATTTGTTTTACATGTCTTTCCTTTAATGTTAATCGGCAGTGAAAAATTTTTTAATAAAAATATTAGAAAGACAATAATAGAATAATATGATATAATTGTTTTCATAGAATAACAATTATAAATATGAAACAGGATAAAAACTGTTAATTGGAATCATGAGAGATATTGGTCTGCAGTTTTCTTTACTTGTAATGTGTTGTCTGGTTTTTATATTAGGGTAGTGTTGGTCTCATAAAATGACTTAGGAAGTATTTCTTGTTTCTATCCTCTGAAAGGGATTGTAGGAAATTAGTATAATGTATTCCTTAAATGTTTGGTAGAGTTCACTCATGAACCCATCTGGGTCTGGTACTTTCTGTTTTGGAAGGTTATTAATTATTGATTCAATTTCTTTAATAGACAGAGGCCTCTTCAGATTATTTATTTCTTCTTGATTTTGGCAAATTGAGTCTTAAAAGGAATTGGTCCATTTTATCTAGGTTATCAAATGTAAGGGCTTAGAGTTTTTTGTAGTATTCCTTTATTTATTATCCTTTTAATGTCTATGGGATCTGTAGTGATGTCTTCTCCTTCATTTCTGATGTTAGTAATTTGTGTCTTCTCTTTTTTTTCTTAGTTTGCCTGGCTAGAGATTTACAGATTTTATTGATCTTGTCAAAGAATTAGCTTTTTGTTTTGTTGATTTTTCTCTAGTCATTTCTTATTTTCAATGTCATTGGTTTCTGTTCTAATTCTTACTACTTTTTTCTTCTTTGGATTTAATTTGCCCTTCTTTATTTTTCTAAGGTGGAAACTTAGATTCTTATAATGTGCTTTTAATGGTATAAACAATGGCAATTATATCTAGTTGATTGATGGTTTTACTGAATTCAACTATATCCTTAGAGAATGTATGCTTGCTGGTCTGTTCATTTCTGCAAGAGGGGTGTTGAAGTCTTCATCTGTGACAGTGAATTCATCTCTTTGTTCTTGCAGTTTTATCACTTTTTTTAGTTTATCACTGTTGTTAGATCTCTATACATATTAAGGATTGCTATGTCTTCTTGGAGAATTGACCTCTTTATCATTATGGCCTTCTTTATCCTTGATAATTTGGCTTGCTTTGAAGTCTGTTCTGTCTGAAATTGATGTAGCTATTCTTGCTTATCTTTTATTTTCTATAGTTTGATGATGCTATGGTATGCCTAGGCATAGTTTTTTGGGCATTTATCCTTATTTTGGGGCATTAGTGTTGTCTGAGCTTCCTGAATCTGTGGCATGGTTTCTGACATTAATTTGGGGAAACTTGCAGTCCTTATAGTTTCAAATATTTTTTCTGTTCCTTTCTTTCTTTTACTTCTGGCATTCCCATTATATGTATGGGGCTTTTGTAGTTGTTGTAGTCTTTGAATATTGTTTTTTTTTGGTTTTTGTTGCTTTTTTCAGTTTTGGAGGTATCTATTGCTATAACCTCAAGCTTAGAGATTCTTTCCTTAGCTGTGTCAAGTCTACTAATAAACCTATAAAGGCATTTCTCCTTTCTGTTATGGTGTTTTGATCTCTAGCATTTCTTTTTGGTTCTTTCTTAGGATTTCCATATCTCTACTTACATTGCTCATTTTTTTCTTGTTTTCTGTCCTCACCCACTAACGTGCTTAAAATATTAATCATACTTGTTTTAAATTCCTGATCTGATGATTACATCATCCCTGCCCTGCATGGACCTGATGCCTGATTTGTCTCTTCTAATTTTTGGTCTTTTAATATTGTAATTTGTTCTTGATCACTGGATGTCTTAGTTTGCTTGCACTGCCATAAGAGAATACCATAAGCTGGGCAGTTTATAAATAATAGAAATTTATTCCTTATAATTCTGGGAGTCTGGGAAGTCCAAAATCAGTCTCCAGGAAATTCACTGTCTGTTATGGGCCCACTTCCTGGTTCATACATGGTCATCTTTTCGTGTGTCTTCACATGGTAAAGAGGCTCCCTTGGGTATATTTTTTATAAGGGTCCTAATCCCATTCATGAGAGCTCTGCCTTCATGAGTTAATCAATTCCCAAAGGCATCACCTCCAAATACCATCACATTGGGGGATGAGGTTTAAACATAAATTTTGGGGGGATACAAACATTCAGTCTAGCTTTTAACATGATGTTTTAGATAAAGGAACTATTGTAAATATGCGCTTAGTAATGTGGTTTAAGATACGGGGGAGAGGAAGAGTTCAATAGTCGTATAATAAGCTCTCAAGTCTTTGAGTAAGCCCATGCCTCTGGACTGTGAACTTTATGAGTGTTTCTCATTTTTTTTTCTCCTCCTTTAAATGGGACAGGATGTCTAGTGTGGGCTGGAGTTGGTATTTCCTTTATCTGATGTAAGGGCTAGAGGTGACTGGAGTTGGCTATTTCCTTTCATCAGATCTGTTAGATACTGATAATACTCTAGCAGGTTAGGCTCTGGTTAGTTATATTCTCCTGAGATCAGGCCTTGGTAAGAAAAACAGAGTTCTCTGGTATATTTCAAATTTCCTTTTCCTCATTCCCTCCCAGAAGTGTGAGGGAGTTTTTCTCCAGTATTTACTATATTTACTATAAGAATATAATTGAGCTTCTGGAGGTAAATCAGAATGGTACTGTCCTCCCCTGTGTCTGGGCCCCTGAGATTTTTAATTCACTGACATGTCTTCACTGAACTGCCAGCAATTCTTCCATTACAATTCAGATTTTTTCTACCCAGCACTGGCTCTCTTAGTGGTTTCTTTGTGTATCTGCTTCGGTAAGCTGTGGCTCCTGTATTCACCTGTCTGTCTCTCCAGTCTTGCGGGTAGTGGTCTGCCCTGTGTTTCTTGCTCTCTCATGGATCTAAGAAGAGTTTGATTTTCATTCCGTTCAGGTTTTTACTTGTTGTTAGGGTGGAGTGGTGGCATCTCAGTTCCTTACATGTGGAATGGAACTGGAAGTCAGGAAATGAGTTTTTTAAGCATAAAATATTTTCTTTAAGTGACATCAACAAGAGAGTGAGCTAGAAGTCCCAATACTCATCCATCTCATAAAAACCAATAAAAACCAATAAAACAACTACATACTGATGAAAAGAGTTCTGGGAGGGGTCTGAAGTAAACTAATAAGCTACAGAAATGCTGAAGAGCTCAAAACTGAGGACAGCAACTTGGAAAAGTACAGGAAACGTTTTACCTGCATTACCCCACCCCTCACTCCATCATGGTTTGATGTCACGAAGACCCAGTAGTGCAATCTCCCCCAATCTGGTAGAGCTGGGGAACCTTGGCAGCTCCTGTTGCCACTGTGGACAGCTGAAACTTTTGCTACTGAGAATGTCCAGTCTTTACTGATGCTTAATCCACATGGTGGAGCTGCCCAGAGTCCATGCCACTGTGCCTCCCCTGGAGAAGGAGCTGCTGCAGCCCCCCACTCCCCTGGGGGTGGAGCTACCACACCTCCTGCCGTCACATATACACCCAGGGCTCTGGTTCTGTGGCAACTATATGTGTGCCCCCATCTCAGATACCAGTGCCAACACTGCAGTGAGTGCATCCCTGCACTAGACCCAGCTCCAAGAGGGATCCCTTGACCATAAATTTCCCTGTTGGGGAAGGAAAACAGGATTGCAGAAACTTTTTCCACTGGGGACTCCAACAGCCCTTGGTGCTGCTGTAGATACCTGCAGCCTTGGTTGCCAAAGAAACCTGCGGTCTTTGACAACACTGTCCTCAGGTGTCAGGACTTCCCAGAATGCTGCTGCACCCTCCCTGAAACCAGAACATTCTCTGTAGTCTGCCTCTTCCCCCAGAGTTGGAGCCACTGAACTCACTCTGCCAGTGCCCTCAGAAGTACCCATAGGTCTTTCTCCAGTGAAACCAGTCCACAAAGTCTGGAAAAGATGACTACTCCCTCAAATGTGCAGACATCAACACAAGGCTACCAGAAACAAACAAAAAAAAAAAAATCAAGGAAACATGACACCAGCAAAGGAACACAAAAATTTTCCAGCAATTGGCCCTAAAGAAATGGAAATCTATTAATTGCCTGCCACTAAATTAAAAATTATTGTTTTAATGAAGCTCAGTGAGCTGCAAGGGATTATAAAATTAGACAACTCAACAAACTTAGGGTAACAGTGCATGAATAAAACAAGATGTTTAACAGAGATGGAAATGATGAAAAAGAACCAAACAAATTCTGGAGCTGAAGAATACAAGGAATG